GAGAGGAAAGTTGAGAGGGTCTCAAGAGAAAACAAGCAGAGTGAGCAAGTGAGAGCGAGCACGTGCGAGTGTGTGCACAAGTGTATGTGGAGAGCAACTGCAGCTGGCTGGTTCTTTCGGAACCCCAGAAGGATCGTATTGGTCCGACCGGGATTCCCAAAGCTTCTGCTTTCTGACCAGCAGAGGACTGGAAATTGGATCAAGCGAGCAGGTTCAGGATGATATCCCGCTAAGACCATGAAAAGGTAACAAGTCGTTGGCACAAGCCTGCTTGTTTTAACCGCTTTACGTACGCACGGCCTGTGTACCTCATTCAAAAGCCCCACAGCCGGATTGAAACATTTGAAGTGATATGAATGAAATGTTTACGTGAATGCTTCACGCTGAAATGCACACTGAGGATGCTTACACTGAGAGGCATCTTTTACGAGGTCTTTCGGCAGTGTGTAGGGATGGTGGTTGGTATTGCTTTGCTTGCGCAATAACTTGCTGTATGCTTCACTCCATCTCTCTGTTACAAAAACCGTGTCACCAGTGTCAACGTCTTTTGAACGTTGTTTTCCCCGTGTGAGTCCTCATGTTCGGGGGGAGAGTTACAGAAACCAAAGAATACCTTGAGGCTTCGTAATACATGTTCGTGATACATGTTCTTACCCTCAAGGCTTTTGAATGTCTAATGCTTCTCGGAGTCCTCTTATTCCTGCCATCTCCCTAAATTTGCTTAGTGAACTTGCTCCGCCAACTTCATGCTCTGTTGTTTTCTTTATCTTCAACAAGTAGTGTCTGGTTTGTAGTGGCTTCAGCCCAAGCTTTCCGTAGAAGAAACAAACCGCACAAAACTACTCTAAAGCTGAGCTGCACAAGCTGTGATGCAAGCCTTTGTGAGGGAAGTAGCCCTGCTTCACTCGCCGATGGAACAGTGGAACTCCCACAAAGCCCAACGTAGCGCTGAGAAACACATACACCATCAGAGTGCCGTGAGGATGGTGCTCGCAACCTCAACTTTCAAGACGTAAAGCATGAAACAAAATACTTGCGCATGGGTTGTCAAGTTCTGACTGACTACTACTAAGCAAACAATCAGCAAGTGCACTCAGTTTTGTGCCAAAATGTGGAAGAATTTCATGCAAAGCATCACGAACCTCCGACATATATGCAGTTTGTCTTGGGAACAGCCCATTGAACTGTGAATGTGCAGTATCTAAAGTGCATCGCAAAAAGAAACACATTGTGTGCCTCTTGCTGCATTTTCAGTCTATCGAAGGCTCTTGTGGGAGAGCCTTTGGAGCCATGCCGCTTGGAGTCCAGCATCCTGGGCCAGCGTTGAACACATATTGCCTTGTTTGGGCCGATATCCTTGCATTTTTTCATGCTTCATACAGTAATTGAAATCTGAAATTATCAATCATTCAACTCGTACATACGAAGATCCAAGTGCGTGGACGCCCTCGATGGACACGGTCGATCACTTGGAAAGCTGCAGCCCACTTGATGTTTCGGACCCACTCCTCCCACTGCCAGTCCGAACGCGTAAAGATCGGAAAAGGTGTAAATGCAGACCGGCATGCTAAAACATGTTGTTTTAATCAAAATCTCCTGCAAAAGAGGGTAGTTCGGACCATTCTTGCAGAGTTCATGGTGTTCATCAAGTTCTTCCTGGTGAAGGCCTTATTACAATTCAATTTCTCTTGGGCGCCATTTGATGCCGAATCCACGAATCAAGCGAATCAAATTGATGCAGCAAAGAGGCAAAGGAAAATTCGTTCCACCATGGAAAGACAGACCACTCGCTCAAACAACGCCTGCCACATTAGCGAACACCTTGCTGCGCTCAAAAGGGCGCCACATGCCAAAGGCCAACGCGGAAAGTACTTCAAACTTAAGTACAGTAGTTTCATTTAGGTAAATGCTCCGTGCCTCCATGGAAGTCTTCAGAAATATTTTTCCATCGCCGTTGATGGAAACCTTGCAGCAGCATGGTTCAAGTGACAGAAGCTGATTGAGAGCAAAACACCTTCGGTTGCACAGCTCGTGTACCTGTAGCCAGCGCCACGAAAAACGAACAAGAACCTTGTATACATTGGTTTGAATTTGCCATTCGCCTGAAAATGCGAAAGCCACGAAAATTTCCACGCGAACGGCACGAAAAGTGCGAAAAACATAAGCACTGCAAAAACACGACCAATATGAACACCGTGAAAACCAACAAGGATAGCGGCGGAATGATTTTCAAAGATGAAAGACATCGGAGGAGCTCAACCTCTGGATGGGTTTTTGCCAGGAAAATGTATTATGTTGCACGTCGCAAACGAGCAGCCCCGCAACAAATCATCAAGCATTCAAATGCAAATCAGGCCCAGCAGGTCCAATGGTTGCCCAAAAGAATCCCCCAAAACTAAATCGGGGTTGTGGCCTGGGCGCTCAAGGGTCAACGAATGTAGAGTGACAAGCACATACTTCGAACCGATTCATTTTCCGACTGGACCAAATGTTTTGACGCCCTCTGGTCCAGGCTGTGCGCTGGCAAGACACATCACAAAGTGGGCCACAAGAGTTTGACCCGCGGTATCGCTTGCCCTCAAAGTCATGCGGGTCCAAGTTCGTACCTCCTCGCACGTTGGAGGTGCCAAGGGCTGTGATGAAGCTGAGTTCCTGGAGCGCTGGTTGCCCACGGTCGATTTCCAAAAGGTCATCTCCTTCTCGCATGCCCTGTGACACATGTGCTGTTGCTGGCGCTGCTGCCGCTGGTTGTGTTGGTTCTGCACCCTCTTGTACTGCATGAGGTTCATCGCCATCGATGACAGTGGTGACGTTCTGTGGGCCAATCGGAGTGACCCGCCCCCACCGGCTCCCGTCCGAATCTCCGCATCCGAGCAAAACTCCGGGACGTCTGGAGGCTTCCTCCTGCGGCACGCTCTTCACAACGCTTGCTCTCACGCTCGACTTGGTTGTCGGCTTCACAAACAGGCGTTGGTGAGTCTCGTAAAAGATCTCCTCAAGGTTGTCACTGACGACCTGGACTGCCTCACTCTCGTCCATGGTCAAAATGAACATCTATCATCGTTAAGCGCGCTGAGGTCCTCGAAGGAGTCTTCATCCTCAATCTCGCCATAGGTGGAAGTCGCCTCGTCATCAATCATCCTCATTCGATTCAACTCTTCATCCCAGAAGGTAGCACAGCACCACCTCCGGGGCGTGAAAATCTGTTTACGGTGTCCATGACCTTCGTCCAACTTATCGCCGAAGGGATGGCCTTCTGAATGGCCACCTCACTCGTGGTAATCAATGGGCCGGTTGGTGACCACTTTCAGTCTCTGGCATTGATCCTAAGTGAAAGGGCGTGCCTCAGGATCAGGTGTCCCAACAAATGTCTTCCTGGACTGGTGGCCAAAAGATCCAGCCCTTGTCTCTTCAACTCTGCAAAGGCCGCCTTCTTTGTTGTTAATAGGGTCGTGGGCGTTTGTCCGCGCTGACGTCGACCCTTCAAGATTGCGTCATCGAAGGCCACCTCGGGCCGCGATGCCAAGTATGACCTTGTGGCCATTGTCTGCACAGATGTCATCGACAGTCAGGTGGGCCAGGAGGGAGCTAAGCTTCGTGATCCGGCTGTGGGGCAAGCAGGCTTCTGCTTCAACAAGCCAAAGCTGCAAGCTTCTGATGTACTCCATGTCACCACCCCATGATGGGGCCGGGTCAATCTTGTAGTCCATATTCTTTTTCATACTTTTTCTATCTTTTTCTCGCGTCCTGGCTGGCTTCTGGCTGGAGCTGAAGGCCGGCTACTGTCGCAGCTGCCCCAGGTTCAAGGCCGTCGTGAAGTCCGGGATGGTACAGGCGAACGTCGTTGAACTTCAGGTTGTGGTGGACTGTGGTGGACTGGCGATGGTGACGATGCTGTACCTCCAACCGCCGTTCCAAGAGACTCCCAGTAAACTGGCACGTCAAAATGTTCAGGCTGAAGGCAAACTTGCTGCCAGAGCCTCAAGCAAATAGTTCGAGCAAAGTCCCAGCGCCGGCTAGCAAAGTCGTAGGGCTAGCGGCTAGAGTAGTAAAGTGGTGGTCGAGCTCAAAGCTCGAAGGAAAACAGGCCGGCTGGCTGTCAAGCTCCGCCGTGAGGAGCGAGGTCGGTGACGTCGAAAGAGGGCACCACTGTAGAACAGCGGAAGAGCAGTGCGGACGGCGCGCCGAACGGAAAGCCTTTTTCAAGGCAAGCTCAAGGGGCCCCTAGGGCTTGGGCTGGCAACTATGGTCATGGAATGCCAAACGGTGGGGGCGGAACCAGTGAACTATAGTGAACTGGCTGTATGCAGCGCACGGTACGCCGGAGGAGCCCTCCTCAATAGGGGCCCCCGCCTAAGCTAGGGGCTATCCTATGCTGTAGTGCTAGGTCATGGGGCCTGGAGACCCCAAGGAACTTGTACTGTGTGGGCCTCGCTGATTTTACCTCCGCGCAACTCTGATGTTTGTGCAAAGCCTACAACCATGAAGACGGTCAAAACAATGAAAAGACAAAAGCCGCCAAAAAACAAAAACAAAAACGTTGAAAACACTTATATAAGCATGCCCAAAAAATAGGAAACACTTAGACTTAAAATATCAAAAATATCATAACATAAAATGATCAAACATTCATACAGTTGGTTATATAGAAACCTTCAGTGCATGCGTGGCACGGAGTCCGGCTCAGGGATGTTGAGATCATCCAGCTGCCGCTTAACCTCCAACCATCCACGCAAGCCAAAAAACATCGGGAAACGGCAAGCGGGCAACTCACCCCTGCATCACCATGAAGAAACACTCCGCTCAAAAGGTTGCCTTCCAAACAGAGTCCCAGGAATCAGCAGTGATAACTAGCTGCACCATGAGCGCGACAGCTCAGGCATCGGCTCTCGAGCCGCAGCAAATCCACGCCAAACTCCATTGCGGAAAGGCGAGGGCAGCAGAACAACTCTGTGTTGCTTGTGTGCGGAGTCTATCGTTCTAGAGTTCAGCAAACCTGCCTCGTAGGAACCATCACACCACCGTCCATTCTGCACAGCAGTGCGAACCTCCCTCAGTCGCACGTTGCTGTGCAGTCGTTCACATCCACGTCTTGGTGATGTGATGTGTGATTCTGGTGCGACTTGCAAACAGGTTCGTTGGGAAATGCAGCTTGGCTTCATCAAAAGATCTAGGGTCACTGGTTCCGAGGAGCCCTTCACATACCTGAGAAAAGCATTGCTGAGCTCCACTCAGTCACTAGGACGACTGATCTAAGAGAGCAGCGCTGGGGTGCCACATGACAGTCTCAACCTCATTGATACTGCAAGAGCGCAGTCATAGCATCAGCGGAAAAATGGAAATGCAATTGGTGCCCTGGCATGCAGCGAAGGGATCGAAGCATTCCACCCCAATTCTCCAGGCTCTCAATGGCATCCAAACGTAGTGCCAACCAGCCTGGTTTGGGCCATTGAGAAAGCTATGCGGCTATGCTGCTGTCGCTGGTGTGTTTCTAAATCAAGCTTGTTTCTGAGGCACGGGCTGTTGTGCCCCACAGCACGCCAGAACAGGCGGTGAGTCGTCAAGCGCACCTGCGAGTAAACCGCGGCCACCAAACATTTGCAAGCAGCAACAAAAAGAATAGCCAGCTCCCGCATTCAATAATGCTGTTCCGCCTTCCTTATTATTTTTGCATCTTTTGTTCTCCAACCCTGCGCGTTGCTGTTCCCGACCCTCAAAACGGCCGCCCTTTTCTGTTCTTCTGTCCTACCTGCTACCTATGACTTTGCTCTTCTGCCCTGCTCTCCCCCTTGCCTTCTCTCTGCTCAGTTCCCCGGCCACTCTGTGTCTTCTCCCCACAGACACCATCACAACCAAACGTGCCCCAAAAAGGATACCTTCACCTTGCTTGACAAATGGCAAGGACCTTTGTTTATGAACCTTTACGCATTTTAGATGCCAAATCTTGACAAAACATCGTTGGCACTGGCACCACAGATCGGAAATAAAGCACCCCAAGCAAAATTGACTAACAAATTTGAAGGAGAACATAAAATCAGAAAAGGATGTTATACGGGTGTGCGTTATGCGCGCCTGCGCCGATAACTGCGACTTTGGACAGGTTCTTGTACAAATCAAAGAGAAGACAACTACCAAAGAAAGGACAGCTAAGTTGGCAATTATGGACTTGTACAATAAGCAAGCTTGCAGCGTCCTGACTTGCATTGGCCTTGATCCTGATGTGTGTGTGTAGGGGGGCGCACAAAAAAAACATGTCCAAGAAAAAAACACGCCAACGTTTTTTCCGCGCCCCCCCACCAGATCCGATGAACGTGCCCAGGGCGATGAGGGACGCTCCATTTGTTTAGCCCCCAATTTTTTTGAGCTTCATGCTTCTAACATCTATGACATATGAGCATATCTCAATGAGCCTATCTCAAGATTGCAGCCACCAGTGCTAGCAACGCATTGATGGGATCATGGAATGTTCCCACATATTTTGATGCATTGTCAATGGGACTATGTGCACTGTTGTTCAATGTGCATTACCAAATGATTTACACTCGTGAGTACCATATGCAAGGACCGCACTGGTAGCCTAAGCTAGCACCACAAAGATCACCTAGACCTCTTCAATCAAGTAGTAGGTGCAACCAAACAAAGGCTCAAAGGACGAACCAAAGATCGTCTCGCGAAAGCTGCCGCACTGAAGCGGCTTTTCACCTATGGCGAAGCGCGGTCGGTAGCGCGTGGACCTGCAAAGGTCTTGGCCGAAGGAATTCCTGTAGGTTTGAGGCGGCGGCGTGCGAAGCTCAGCTCATGAACGTGAATGCTCAAACAAACCTAGCCAATCCCCCACATGCTTTGATACCAGAGGCTTGGATTCTTGCACACCCCAAGAGGGTTCGTGGAAGTGGGCTGAGCTTTGTGCAAGCAGATCGACCCAGTTGGTGTCTGCAGCCTCATCTTTGGCTTGTTTCCTCAAGCGCTTTGCGCTGGTGGAGTACCTGTCCTTCATGGAAAAGGCGCTCGTCTGCAGGGACCCATTCTTTGCGGCATCAAACAATGCCTTGGCATCGATCACCAAAGCTCCTCGCGTCAGCCTTGCCGCTTCCTCCGGCTTGGTGATGTCCACTTCCTTGCCCAGCATCTCTTGCCACTGGACGCGCAGGAACATCAACTCCTGCTCTGCGTCCGCCAGCGCCTGCGTCTCCGCAGCGAGACCCTCCGCAGCTTGTTGGAAGACCAGCTCATGACATTCACTGGTCCTCGCACCCCATCATCCAGCATGGAGCGGTGCACAAAACCAATGATGAAGCCACCAGTGCTTCCGAGGTCAGCACGGTTCGCCAATGCGGCGTCGCTCCAAGCCACCAGCGCCAAGTCATCATCGCTCTCAGCGCATAGTTGGTGTACCGTCATGCCAACTTCCTTTTGGCCACGCACTTCACGAACAAGGCGGTTCACCTCAGGGATGATGGATCTGTCGGCCTTGCTCAGCAGGGACTGAAGGTGTCCAACTTTGCTGCGTGTTGAGGTCCAGTTTGATAGACCCGCCACTGAACGGCGCCCAGGATAGCACGGCATTGGGTGCGCTCTTGAGCTGTCAGGTCCTTGTGTTTGCCGTCCTCCTTGATTTGGGAGAGCTTGCTGCAAAAACTGGCTTGGTCCAATCTCCAGCCACCATCAGGAAGTTGTTGCAGCTCCACTCCACAATGAGTGAGAGGAGGGACCTCCCACAGAGACCAACGCATGGAGGCGTGAAACTTCTCAATCACTTGGCTCCATCTCTTGTCCTGCTCGTTGCCGACAATGAGGAAGTCGTCAACGTGGCTGCCAATCATTCCAAGGGTGCAAAGTTCGCCTTGGACCATGGCGCGAAATCGCCACAAGCAGCCGTCACCAACCGCTCCAGTCCAAGCCCCTGCAAGATCTTGTCAACGTGCAGATAAAACTCTCGAGGGGCCACGGTCAGGCCGTAGGCGGCTCGCATGATCTGCACCACTTGACCTTGCTGAAGGTTCATTGCTTCTCGCAACTCTTCCACAGGAACTCCAAAGATGCCACGTGCCTGTTGGTTGGAGTCACCCTGTAAGAAAGCAGCTTTGGCGTCCGCCTTGAGAAGCTGCCATCCTCGGTGAGTGCAGAGTTGTAGCAACAGTTGCCTGCTTCTTCGGGACATAGTTGGTGACTTCGTATTGATGAGGCCAACGTCGGGGTCAGAGAAACCCAGGCTCACGATTCTCGCTTTGGCCTTGACTTGGCCCTTGTCTGCGGCCTTGAACACTAAGACCCATCTCACGCGCATGATGCGCGAGGGATCCACATGGCCGATGGCAGCCTTGCAAACATGGCTGGTGATCCATTCTTTGATCTCGACCTGCTTTGCCTCTTTCATGGCTTTGCGCTGGGTGACATTGAGTTTACTCCAAGACACTTCCACCCCCTTGGCCACTCGTTTTGCTATGAATTTGCTTGGATCTTTGACGATGGCTCGCCACTCTGCCTCTGTTGCTGGCTCAGGCAACATCACGCTGAAGACCAGGTTCTCGTCGTCCTCAGCAGTGAGATAGTTCACAGGTGACGAAGGTCCATGGGGAGATCTGCTTCTTGTTTGAGGAGGATCTGTTGAAGCAGCAGCTTGACTCCTCAGAAATTCCTCCCTTTGGGCGTGTTGAGGCCTCTCCAGTTGCTCGTGTCGTTGACGGGCACGAAGGAAGGGCTCATGCTCAAAGAGTGGTCCTTGTACAGGTGGAGGAAATGGAAAATATTGAGGATCCGTTGCCAGGCGTTCACCATCGATCTCCTCCAGAGGTGGGAGATCTGATTGATCTTCTGCGTCTTCTTCTTCTGGCCTCGGCGGCTCCGAAGGAGAGTATTCATCCATAGGTATCGGAGGTCCTCCTTCATCTTCAAGATGCTCAGGCTCTGCATCTTCTTTTCCTTTTCTCTTCTGACCTCCTCTTGCTCGACTTCGAGAGCGCTGAGTGCGCCGAAGATGTGGTCGCCCTTGACGAAGACTTGGATCTTCCACCAAATCATCATAGGATCCATAGTTCAGGGCCTTGGAGATGTCCTGAAACGTCCATGGCATTGCCAGCACATCATGGAACTGTTCATTGGTGAGCCTCTCTCGCTCTGAGCTGTGGCGTAGTTGATCCGTGTGGACTCTCTTCAATCTGCCTTGGCTGATCACCCATGCAATGCGGTGAGGTTGACGAATGCTCCCGTTGTAGGTGACTTTGGTTTCCAAGCCAAGTATTCTTGCAGGGCCATACCAACGAGCCACCTGGCGTCTTGGCACATCCAGAAGTTGATGTGATCGCCCTTCTCGAGGTGCTTGATGTCTCTCGTAGAAGACCAAGTCGCCGGGGTAGAAGTGGCTAGGAGGAGTAGTCCTCATGTTGGTCGCCTTGCTCAACCTTTCCAAGTCCACCAGTTCCTTGTACTTCTTCTCTGCAGCTTGTCTCAGCTCTCGATCAAAGTTCACGGAGGCCCAAAAGGGAAGATCTGATCCTTGATGAAGGCGATAGGAGTCTGTCATCTCCTTGCCAAACACCCATTGTGATGGGCTGTAGCCTCCCTTGCGGTAGAGGTTGTTGTGAGCTGCAATGAGATGCCATGCAGCAGCAACAGGATCATCTTCTTGACCTCGGAGGTGACGATCAAGCATGTACTTCAGGCGGCCAATCATGCTTTCAACTTTCCCGATCTGCCCGTGAGCTTCAGCAGGAACGAACATGAGCTCAACGTCATTCTTGTCACCCCATTCTTCTAGGTCGCGGCCTCGATGAGCTCCCTCTTTGTCCATCTTGATTTGGCGTGGATACCCAAAGTATTGCACCCAAGATTTCATCAAGCTCTGCAGCACTTCCTGAGTTGAGGGGCTCCAAGATTCTTTCAAGTCATGGGTGCTCAGGTGTGATGCAACAGCATAGCCACTGCTTTCATCAACAATGATCTGCCAGTGGTAGACCTTATTGCCGTAGGTGAACTCGGCATTGTCCACTTGGATGGTCTCCCACAATTTCTCAGCACTTTCCAGTGTCACTGGAGTTTGTTTTGGATTTTGCATCCGAGCTTCTTCGCAATCCATGCAATGGAGATTGCCAGCGATGGTGAGCATCTTCTTGGTGGCACCACGATCTCGCAGCATGCGAACAAAGGCTTGGCTAGAAGGGTGACCAAGCTTTTGATGGAGCTTCAGCAGGTTGGTAGCCCGGCGCAAGTGAAGCAGGATCACCTTCAGGATGTAGTGCCATCACTTGGTTCTCGTCAATCTCATCGAGGTACTTCTTCAGCGAACCAGGCGCCAAACTCTTGTGGCCATTGCTTTCGGGTAGAAGGCTGACATTCTCGTTCTCTGACCACCTTCGCAGGGAATGTGCTTGTGGTTGCCAGGGCATCGTTTTGCCAGGTTCCAAATCAAAGGTGTGGTGCCACGTAGCAACCAGGGCTTCTTGAGATAGCCGTCCTCCACCTTCAAACCATAGCTGCATCCATCAACTCGGGCCTCATGAAGTTGGCCATCGATTTCTCCGCGCCTCCAGAAATGGCGGATTGAAGCAAAATGCCACGCACGATTTCCAAGAGGCCATTCCTCCACCACATCTCCTCCAGCTTCAATCTGGGTCTCCATGATGCGGATGCCATTGGTCACCAACTTCTTTGATCTTTGGACTTTCTTTTGAATCTTCTTGCGCCCTTCTTCGGTCAGCATGTTCAGCTCCTGGATGGAAGACGTTGGGCCTCAAGGAAACGAAACCCACAGAAGATCAGGATGCACATCTTCTATCAGGTGGATCACCTTTTGCACTCCCTGCTCAGTGAGGATGTCGAAGCCGTTGTGTAATCCACAACGGTAGGCCTGTCCTCCATTGGCGATGACTGTCTGTGAGATGATGCTGTCTTCCTCACAACACAATTCAATCACGGTCGGAGCTGACCGTTCAGGGTGAAGTCCGATGGCAGCCATCAACTCTTTCACCTCAAACTCGTAGGTGTCGTGCAAATCCTCAATGACCTCATAGTCTTCAGCGGTGTAGTGGACACGATCTGGGTCATTGGAGGTCTCGTGGTTGTCAGAGCCACTGGAGGTTTCATTGTCATCGAACAATCCCTTAGCCATTGGCGTTCTTCCAGGTGAAATCCTTTCAGCAGCCAATGCAGCCGCTGAGGTAGAGGGTGAAAACTCGGCCTTCGTCCTCTGGCGCTTTATGGACGGTCCGGGCTCTCCACTTCTGCCCAAGACTGGGCATCCTCTTCTTGTAGGGCCAAGGCTTCGTGCTGCTCGGCCGAGTCCTCAGGTACTTAAAGGTCGAAGTGGATGCCTTCTTTGGAGTTGCCGGATTCGCCTTGACTAGCGATGGTGCCTTTCGATCTTGGGTCTCCTGCCACTGCTTCTTCTTCTGCTGGACTTCGTCGAGCTTTTGGAGCAGGGATTCTTCGGCTCCATCCAGGCCGATCTTCTTGTCCTTGAGGTGAATGCTGTTTTTCTGCTCGTTGGGTGGAACCTTCTCCAACTGCCGCTCGACGTCCTTGGCAAGGGGACCTGCAGCTCGTGTCAAGCCGTGAGCTCCATAGGCCGGTGTGTAGCTCAGTTTCAGGTGGCATACTTCGCAACCCTCCCAGGTTGCATGCTTGTTGGATCCGGTCACCGATCCCGGGCCGGGAGCCGCCACCACATGATGCCCCAGCATGGTGCTCCTTCCGCTCGGGGATCTTGAGCGTTCATCGGCTGTGTGCGAGAGTAGTCGAACTTCTCGCTGGCCGGCGCCACATTTTTCTTCTTGGCCTTCGCATCGGCCTTGGGATAGCCGCTCGTGGTGGCGCGCGACATGGTG